GGGCCGAGAGAAAATGAGGTTTACGCAAAGCTGGCAGCTGCTTCAGAGTTCATCACGTTTTTCATTCTGGAGATAATGAAAGGGGTTTTAAGTCATTTGTTTTCGGTCACAGTCTTCAGCTTTTCTTTGCTCTCTTCTCACTCACCTGCACGCAGGTGCGGTTCCTCGCCGTGGGTTATGATAACCGTAATTCAGATTTGGAGGGAGGGTGTATCACCACACAAATGGCGGAGCAGATGGAGGGTGCAAATAGGGGTAGCTGTTTGTGTTTGTTCGGCACGCTAGGGTTGTGTAATAGTTTTCAAACCAAACAGAAGGTAGATGATGTGCCCTGGTTTTGTGCCCAAAGCATGTGGCAAAACTCTGTGATGCTCATGTAGGGATAGAAGGGTTTAGAACACACAGTTGAGACACAGACCAAAAGTTATGTAACTATGGTAAGACATGTAACCCAACAGACTGACTTTTCTGCAGGGTTTTTTGAGGAATTTTCAGAGAAAATAATTTCATGTCTTGAACCATGTCATATTTGGGCTTCCTGAAAGGGATAGTTCACCAAAAAAAGAAAATTCTGTCATTAATTTCTCACCCTCATGTCGTTCCAAACCAGTAAGACCTTCGTTCATCTTCAGAACACAAATTAAGATATTTTTGATGAAATAAGAGGCCCAGAAAGGTAGTAAGGACATCGTTAAAATAGTCCATGTGACATCAGTGGTTCAACCTTAATGTTTTGAAGCTATGCGAATACTTTTTGTCTGCAAAGTAAACAAAAATAACTTTATTCAACAAGTATTCTCACAAAATTATTCTCGTAGCTTTATAAAATTAAGGTTGAACCACTGATGTCACATGGACTATTTTAACGTGTCCTAACTACCTTTTTCTACCTGGTCTCGTGGCAAAAATGTGCCTGGGGCTTGAAGAATATTATGTTATGACTTCAAAACCATTTTAATATGCTGGGACATTTGAAAACTGATGCTTTTGAATGTTAGCATCGCACATATCCAGCTTCATATCTATGGGTTTTCATCGACTGTAGGTTTGTTCGGTAGCTCACGGAGTACGGAGACGTAGGCTACTTGAGAGGTGAGGAGCTCCGGTTCGAGTCCTGTGTAACTACGGTTCGACAAAACCGTTCAAATCTGCATATAAGGAAGTTCAAATGGCATGGTTGCATCAACAAATGCATTTTTATATCAGTTTTACTATCAGGTAAGTTTAGGGTTGGGTTTGGTGTGGGGCATATTTCCAACATGATAGAGCATTACATTTTAGCAACAGTCCCCGGATATTTGAATTCTGAACCACTGCAATACGTAACTGAGGCAACGTAATAAAAACACAGCAATACGTACCTGTATCAAGGTAATAAAAACGTGCCACGGTTCACGTATTGAACCCGTGTTTTAGCGCCACTCAGTGGACATTTCTCTTTGAAACTGCGGCGAAACGTGCAGTAAGGTACGTAAAAACGGTGTTGCAGAAAGGTAGCCAGAGGTACATATTTTTATGAGACCAGGTTGACCTTTCTAGGCCTTGAACGTATCTGTAGTGTTGCTGACCCTTTGAGACTGACTAGCTGGTCTGGTGTCACTCTAAAGCCCGAAGTACTATTCAGTTATGAAACTTTTGGTTTGCACTGGTGCACATTCTTTTTTTTTTAACCAGGAACGAGATGAAATGCAGCAGAAATCAAGTAAGATTTGACTGGCTGTCTGCTCAGGCACTTGGTATGTGGTATTTAAAACTTGATCTCCTAGTTTAATGCTCCATAATCCATATTGTCCAAAGATTTGCAGCGCTCTTGGCACTCTTGTACATTCCTATGCATGATACGTTGTTGCTTGACTAATAAAATATAAAATTACTAAATAAAAAAATTCGATCTCGATTCAATATCAATTCATGTGTATATACTGTATATATTAGGGGATAAAAATATTTTGTTGAATGCAGTTGAATGCCTTTTTAGCATCATTTTAAACTTGGTTTAAATTCAGTATTTGCTTGAATTCGTTGTGTGTAATTATGCAAGTATCATTAAAAAAAGTATACAAGTTAATAACTTTTTAAATTTCTCGTTTAAAAATCCAATGTTTAATCATGTCTAAATATTTATTCAAATGAAGAACTTAAAAAAATAAGTAAGCTAAGCAGGAATGACCTGCAATATTCTAGATATATTTAGTAAAGAGCCATAAAGGTACCTAGTGGGTAAACAATGGCATTACAAATGAAAATGATTTTTTTTCTGACCACAAAATGACTCTAATTTGCCTCTTTGCATTGGAATTTAAAACCCTTTTCTCTATTTTAACCTTTAATGCACTAATTGTAATAAAATATTTTTTCTAATATTTATATTACTTATAAGTCATCAATGGACCATAATTATTGCACAAATAGTAGGCCTATTTAGTACCAAAAGATCTCAAAATATTAAATAAATATTATTGAACTAAAATATACAACACTTATTTAACTGAAAAATAGTTGAACTGTATGGTCACATTATAAGTAAGCAATACCTAAGGGTTAAGAAAACCATATTAATGTTGCCTCTCCATCACTCTCCAGAATAAAATGATACTGTAAATGTCATCGACGTAATAATCAACGCATAATATGCTGTAATGTTTACCACAAATTGCTGCAAATACCTGTATAATGAAGCTGTCGTCTATCCTACTTAAACCCATTCAAATGTATTGTCAATGCTGGTTTGTTTGGAGAGCTCTATGAACCATGTGACCGCGCGGAGACGCCGGCGAGATCAAAGCTTCATTTTACGATTTACGCCACATTAAGTGCGCCAAAACTGTATTTATTGTTTGAATTTAGTATTAAAACTTACAAAATTTGAAAGCTGAGACTTTGTTTCATATCACCTAAGTAGGGTTGGCAATTTGGTGTGAGATTTACATGGGCAGAGTGAGAGCGTGAAACAGAACCTGAAAGCGTGTGTCTCGCGCCAAATGCGTGAGAGTTGGCAACCCTGGCTTAATGAAAGGTCTGGTATGGTTAAAAAAAACAAAAAAAAAAACAATGGGAAGATAAATGTCAACACAAATATAATTATATACACTTTTGAAGTCAATATAAAGGGCCCTATTTTAACGATCTGAGTGCATGGTCTAAAGCGCAAGGTGCGGGTGCACTTAGGGGTGTCCGAATCCAATTTTGCTAGTGTAACGATGGGAAAAACAAGTTTATTTGTATAGCGCTTTTCACGATACAAGTTGTTGCAAAGCAGCTTTACTGGAAATTAAGTTTCTACAATATGTTTAGTAGTAGCTTGTCAGTGGTGACTGTCAAATTGATGTACATATGGCAGAAATGTACAGTAAAATTCAGTTAATGACGTAAAAACAATGTCGGCACGCCCAGCGCATGGTCTAAAAGGGTTGTCCCTATTCTCTTAATGAGTAATGGGTTTGTTTTGGGCATAACGTGCAATAAACCAATCAGAGTCTCATCTCCCATTCCCTTTAAGTTGCGCTTGCGCCATGGCGGATTCGCTATTTACAAGGCGGAATTTGCGAGATGGTCCTCACTGCAGAACACAAGATCCAGGGGGAGTGGTTGGATCCAGATCCAACTCCTCCCACATTACATTACCGTCTCCACCCCCTGATCCCTAAACCCACCCATCTCCACCCCTAAACCTACCAATCTCCACCCCCTACCAGGGGGCGAGGTTGGATCCAGATCCAACTCCTCCCACCTTACATGTACCTAAACCTACCCGTCTCCACCCCCTGATCTCTAAACCCACCCATCTCTCCACCCCTAAACCTACTCATCTCCACCCCCTAGATGTGGATCCAACCACGCCCTCTGGATCTTGTGTTCTGCAGTGAGGGGCTACTGGAATTTGCAAGCGCAAAGACTAAACGTGTCTCCAGAGAGGAAACAGAGCTGCTCGTTCGCGTTAATATTTTGCATGTTTGTGTGCTGCTGCACGTCCCTGTGTGTGTAATAAGCAGAGTATACGCGTGTTGTGGACCCGCCTATAGGCACATATTACTAACGCGCTCTTTAAATAACAAAAAAATACTGCGTCATTGACTTTAGACCAGGTTTTAGTTGGTCAATGGCGCAGTCTATTTCAGTTGCATCCAAATAGCAATGCACCAACAGTGCGCCTGAACGCACGCCCATGAGCGCACAATTGGGTGCAAATGCATTTGCTATTTAAACAACGTGGCGCAGGACATGAAAATGATAACCGCGTCGGGCTGAAACTAGCAAAAAACACTGGTGTCGCGCCTGGTGCCGCATTGCGCCGGGTGTATGATAGGGCCCTAAATCAATATTGACCATATTGTTAGTGTCAATCGCCTTGTGGGCGGTATGGTACTTTCTGAACTCCTGTTCACCTTTCTTTCCCACACTGAATGATTTAACAATGTTTTATTTGAGTGATTCATCAATGTACATTATTCCAAAAGGAAACTGTCTGTCTTTTATCAAAATGTAACAACTTGTTCTGCCTTTAGTCCCATCTTAGTAAAATGTGAGGGTAGTTTCATGTCGATGAGCAAAGAGCCATAATGACGGTGCCATGCGGAGCAGGTCATGGCCAGTTTCATTAGCCATAATGGCACATTCCCTTGAGGAGAGGAAACAGCCAGTCAGTTGACTCACACACTTCAGCATTTAAACGCTGGAACAAATGGGTGTATAATAATAGATGACTTTATATAGAACAAATTAAAGGAATTGCATTTGGCTTAGAACCGTTTCAAGCAGCTTAAAACCTGTGTGTGCTGAGTTTTGTGTTTTGTTTTGATTCTTTCCATTTAAGTTGTTGAGTTTGGGTTAAATACTTGTGGGCATTTGGGCTGTTTTGCATAGTCACACAGCATGCATTTATTATAAAGGTTGTGTCTAATCTTCAGACAAAGGTTTATGTAAGAATGGTGAGGTGAAACCAAATATGAAAGACTAAAGGATTTTAATTTAATGTTCTGTCCATCTGTATTTGTCCTCAGGAGTCGGAACCCATCTGGCTCTCCTCGTCCACGCTCTGTGAAGAAAGTCCACTTTATTAAGAACATGAGGCAGTACGACACCAGGGGCAGCAGGTGTGTTTATTCACTTCTCCATGGGTGTGTGGGTTTTGGGGTTGTTAATACCAGTGATAACAGCCCACTGTATGTGTGTTTGTGTCTGTCGGTCTGTCTTTTCCCATGCTAGTCATGTTTTCCCCTCTCTGTGCTTCAAAACAAACAATCTGGCTCTCGTCATCATTCTCTTCTCAGTTTGGCAATGATCCGTTACAATTACTTCATGCAGTGCTCTTGTATGATTCATGTGAGGATATGATATCTCTGACAGTTTGTACACAAATACTGAAGACACATTTCCTATTATCATAACTAATTTGTTAAAGGGGCCATATTTTTAAAATGTAATTTTTTTTTAATTTTGTGCAATAACGAGTTTGATGTGCTATGAAAAAGAAGAACAGCAGAAGTAGATACTATTATTCCAGTTTATATACAGTGCCGTGAAAGGTTTTTGCCCCCCTCCTGTTTTTTTATTTTTTGCATATTTGTCAGACATAAAAGATTCAGATCATCAAACAAATTTTAATATTACACAAAGAAAATGCAAGTAAATACAAAATGCAGTTTTTAAATGATGATTTCATTTAAAAAAATGAAAAAAGCTGTCCAAACCTACCTGGCCCTACGTGAAAAATTAATTGCCCCAAATGATTGTCAAGCCATTTCTAAAGCTTTGGGACTCCAGCGAACCACGGTCAGAGCCATTATCCTCAATGGAGAAAACTTGGGACAGTGGTGAACCTTCCCAAGAGTGGCCGGCCTACCAAAATTACTCCAAGAGCGCAACGACAACTCATCCAGGAGGTCATAAAAGAACCCAGAACAACATCTAAAGAACTGCAGGCTTCACTTGCCTCAGTTAAGGTCAGTGTTCATGATTCAACAATAAGAAAGAGACTGGGCAAAAACGGCATCCATGGGAGAGTTCCAAGGCAAAAGCCACTGCAGTGCTGACCAAAAAGAACACAAAAGCTCGTCTCACATTTGGCAAAAAATATCTACGTCATCCACCTGGACGGCTTCCGCGTACGACAGTCAGTGGAAGTGAGAAAAAAATGTTTATTACGTTTGAAATATGGATATTTATCTTACAAAAACGCATGGATTCACTACAGGAGGCCTTTATTCACCTCCCGGAGCCGTGTGAGGCACGACACAGGCTAATTTCATTTTTGGGTGAACTAACCCTTTAAAGTGCACACTCTGAGCTTTTTGAGGGTATTCTCATTAAAATTGGAGGAAAGGTTAAGGAATCAACCTGGTACAGGTTAAGATCAACCTGTACCAGAATGACGGGAAGAAAAAAGTATGGCGAAGGCTTGGAACAGCTCATGATCCAAAGCATACAACATCATCTGTGAAACATGGTGGAGCAGTGTGATGGCATGAGCATGCGTGGCTTCCAGTGGCACTGGATTACTGGTGTTTATTGATGACGTGACAGAAGACAGAAGCAGACGGATGAATTCTGAATGTACAGGGATATACTGTCTGCCCAGATTCAGTCAAATAGAGCAAAGTTGATTGGACCGCGCTTCATAGTACAAATGGACGATGACCCAAAACACAGCAAAAGCAACCCAGGAGTTTTTGAAGGTAAAAAAGTGGAATATTCTGCAATGGCCAAGTCAATCTCCTGATTTCAACCCGACTGATCATGCATTTCACTTGCTGAAGACAAAACTAAAGGCAGAAAGACCCACAAACAAACAACAACTGAAGTCAGCTGCAGTAAAGGCCTGGCAAAGCATCACAAAGGAGAAAACCCAGTCTCTGGTGATGTCCATGAGGTCCAGACTTAAGGCACTCATTGCCTGCAAAGATTCTCAGCAAAATATTAAAAATGAACATTTTATTTATGATTATATTTATTTGTCCAATTACATTTGAGCCCCTGAAAATGGGGGAGGGGGCTGTGTATAAAACGGTTGTAATTCCTAAGCATTTTATATTTTTGTTTAACCTCTTGAATTAAAGCTTAAAGTCTGCACTTCAATTTCATTTTCATCTTGTTTCATTTTAATTCTATTCTGGTTGCATACAGAGCCAAAATTATGAAAATTGTGTCAGTGGCCAAATATATATGGACCTAACTGTATATTCAAATAGAAAACATTTATTTTAAATGGTAATAATATTTCACAATATTAATGTACTGTTTTTATCAAATAAACTCAGCCTTGCTTAATTTTCATCTGATCTTAACTGTTTCAGCAGCACATTTTGATGCAAATTGTTTTATAAACTCCGCTCATGTTTTTCTGAAGAATGCCAACTACATTGAACCCCAAAATAGGATATGAACCCTATGTTACAAAATTAGAATTTCAGTTATCTGACTTTACATAACATTATAATCGGATATTATGACAAGTTTTGGCATAGTACACTCAACCTAAGGGATGACTGGATGGGATTTTTGTTGTTCTCTTAAGGAAGTGGCTGTCCTCTGTGAGATCTGGCCTCATTCCATCTGAGGAACGACGGCTATGTTTACTAAAATCCCATTATAAATTGCCCCAAATAGACAGCGGTCCATATTTTCCGCTTGTGTTCCCAGGCTTTGGGTTTTCACACACAAATACGCACGTACCTACTCGCATTCACAGGGTCACAGACAGGATTGGGGGCGGGCGAATAAAACCGATAAGATATTTTCCACTGGATGATCACAGATCCAGATAAGCCTGGTGCTCAGTGGCCTCATCTATAGAACAAATGCAGATACTCAGTATAAAAAAAAAAGAAAAAAATTGTAGGCTAATACTGTTCCCTATAGGAAACAATGGGGCACTGTTGCAGAATTCACCATAATATCCAGTCAGATAACTGAAATTAAACATTTGTAATTTAAGGTGTCATATCCTATTTTTGGGTTCAATATAGTTTAATATAGCATTTTTCAATAAAACCGGTTTAAAATGTAATAAACAATCTGAAAATCACCTTGACATAGCAGCCACTGATAAACTACTCCTAATTGTAATGTGGAAACTTTTATTTTCTTTGAAGCTAATTTGCAATGATACAAATAAACATGAATTGAATTAAATTGAAAAGCTGAATCCCCCATTGGGTAGTAGTTTTCTTAAAGGAGACACTTCATTTGTGAATGAAAAATTATGGTTGTTAAAATCTATTAATTCCAAAATTGATACCGGAGATAGAAATGGAAATCGATCCCAGAAATCTCTAGAAAATGATTCAGTTAATTGCCTGGACTCGTGCTCATTGTTATTTCTGGAGCCATTTCTCCACTGTCATGTGACTTATGACGAAGAAAGAGTCAGAAAAATCCTCTAGGCTGCTGCGGCCGACCCTCAGTTTCATGTTAACTGCCATTTTACCACCCTTTCACATTTCTATGGTTAAAATGCAGTCACATACCAATAGCTGACACACACACACACACACACTCCCCACATCCTGTGTGTTTGTGTGAAGAAGTGAGAGAGAAGTGTACACTGGGGCTGATAGTGCAGGTGTTTTAGCTGCGCGTGTGTGTGTGCGCGTGTGTGTGCGTGTGCGTGTGCGTGTGTGTGTGTGTGTGTGTGTTGATGAGGCAGGAGTATATTTTGAAGGCTGCCCTATTTGACCCCTCTTGTGTCACAGGTGTTGTGTTTGTTCTTGATCTGAATGTACTGAGAGATTAGTGTGTCATTTGTGTTATGGAGTTTTGAGTTGGCCTGTGTATATACAGTGGGTACGGAAAGTATTCAGACCCCCTTAAATTTTTCACTCTTTTGTGTGGAGAAAGTGTGTGTAATGTTAACTAGTTTGTGTTCACCACTGCAGGATCGTGCTTATCTGCGCCAAAGGGTCTTTGTGTGCCGCCTTCTCTGTGCTGCCTTATGGAGAGAGCTTCCATATCAGGTATGCATGAAACAAACATGAAAATCTGCTTATTTGATTCAAAGGTCAGATTTGGTTATACAGTAGGCCTATAGTGTGGTGCTAAGCTGGGGAGATTCACACAGTCACGCTTAATGAAGCTATGTCTCTCAAAAGTTTTGACTTTGTCACCAGGAAGGGTTGTGGTTTGCCCTTTAGCCAGTCTGTTTGATTCAAACTTTTTATTTAATGAATCAGCCAAAAAGACTCAAGCTAATGAGTGTTAAATCGGTATAATCAGGCCAAAGAATCAGTCTGTCTCACACACTTACTGAATCAGTTGTAACAGTTCTTGACTAACTCACTGTATTACTTTTAGCAACTCAAAATGAACCGAGAACTGTCTGTGTGATGGATAATAATGGCAAGACTTAAATAGTTAAATTACTGACTGTCTATTCATAAAACAATTTATAGTTACAGTTTTTCAGTATAGATTTATCCAGATCTGTGCCTGCTTAATTAACTAACATAATAAAACACAATAAAAACATAACTCTATAACAATAACTCTTCATACATGCGCATATGTATATGTATGTGTGTATGTGTATGTTTGTATGTATGTATATGTATACACAGCCACATTTTTTATTTAGGTTTTTTTAATACATGCCCTACTTTGTTCATCTTTAGAATGCGCATCGAAGACTGACACGAAAGAGAAGAAATTTTTGAATAAAGTTGTTATTTTTGTTTTCTTGCGAACAAAAAAATATTCTTGTTGCTTCATAACATTACAGTTGAACCACTGGTGTCACATGGAGGGTCAGAAAGCTCTCGGATTTCATCAAAAATATTTTAATTTGTGTTCTGAAGATGAACAAAAGTCTTATGGGTTTGGAACGACATGAGGGTGAGTAATTAATGACAGAATTTTCATTTCTGGGTGAACTAACCCTTTAAGTCTTTCCTTAGTATATTTGTATATTTCTTTATATAGTTAGCAACGGTTATTCACCTAGGGGCGACTGGGTTCAAATAATACTATACAAAACTGTACTAACAGGAGAATTGATGGAATCATTAAGGTTGGAGAATTCAGAATTAGAATTGAGATTCCCATTCCTAGCTGTCATTTCCATGACTTGTCTTTACATGTTTTCCTCAATCTCAAATAGACAGATGCACACAAGGAGATATGTTCAGCTGAATGTAAGTTCTGTTTGGTTCCTCTGCTCTCCTCAGGGGATTCATATCTAGGGTGAGATTCAGGGCAAATGGGACAGGAAGGAATTTTTCCCACATCCATGAAATGGGCCTGGCATGACACGGCCAAAAGCCTCCTCTCCTTTCCCACCCTCTTTCATTATGGTTTCATAAAATGCTGAAATAAGGAATTGGACCATGGGAGACTTTGTCTATTAGGTCACTTTTTTAAAAAAGAGAAGAAATTAAATGGCCATGTTATGCAAGTAGTCTAAGACTGAAGATAAGGGCTGCTAGAGGGAGTGAATATATATGTGTGTGTTCAGTCAGTGCTTAAAGAGCAGCTCTATATCCAACACACTCCGCTACTTCTGTCTGGAAGGAAAAGCAAAAGACAGGAACAGGTTGAATTTGAAGCTGTCTGTATTAGGTGAGTTAGACTTGTGTGTGTTGAATTGGCTCTGTGTTTGAACTTGTTTTCAACTCAGTAAAGATCTGTCTGCTGCTCTTTCAACCAAGCAACATTAAATTTCATGAGCTAACATGTCTTTTTGTCTTGTTTCGGGGTGGAAAATATTGCAAGGCTCATCTCAAGGGCTTTTATTTTTAAATAGCCAACAGATTTTAGTGTATGTCACAGTTAGTCAGAAGTAGGTGGTATTAGGAGGAAAGACATTCTTACAGAGCGTTTGATTGGACAGTTTTGTGAGTACAAGATGAGTCATCAATATTTTAGGGCTGTTTTCTCAGAAAAGAAAAAGGGAAATTTTTAATTCACATATCAACTAAAATAAAGGATTTTAATCAATGATATCAGTAACAACTTTACTTAAAGCCTTTATGTATAATGCATTATAAAAGTAGTTTTAATGCATTAATTATGCCTTGTAATGCACCTTATAATGCATTGTACAATCTCATGAATAATTGTAACCAGTTAATACATTATAACACTTATCAATTAATTGTTACACTACACATTTTAAATTTGGTTATAATTATTTAGGCAAGTTATAATGTTTTACAATGCACATTATGAATAATTATAATGCATTATACCCCTTTATAATGCATTATACATAAAGGCTTTAAGTAAAGTGTTACCATGATATCAAACACACAGATGATCTCAGAGCAGTTAAACATGGACATAAAGCCACAAAACTCCAATTTGATACACTTTTTGTATGCAAACACTTTGCAGCACTTAAATATTTATCCCTGAAGATCAATTATAGTATGAATGCAGCTTTCTTGCATTAAAAACAGTCATAGCTATACCTTTAAGACTTGTATATATAAATGACTTAAGTAACTAAGGTTTACTCTTAATCCGGGTTTCCCAAACTGGAGTTTGTGAGTTGATGAAAAGCTAATAATTAATTAAATGGTAGAAATGCAAAATTAAGTAATTTTAAAATGAAAAAGGTCAAAATAAAACGCTTCCTAAAAAAGTTTTTAAAAAATTGTTTTAAGTGCATGTCATGTGACCATTATTCGACATCAGAGAGACTTGAACATGTAAATGTGTTATTAAAGGGATTGTTCACCCAAAAATGAAAATTCTGTCATTATTTATTCACCCTCATGTTGTTCCAAACCCATAAGACTTTGGTTGTTAATCTTCGAAACACAAATGAATCGTATGGTTTAATCTTTATGACTTTTTGAATCTACTTGGTCTTTCGATAGAGAAAGAGAAACCTCTCAGGTTTCATTTAAAATACCTTAAATTATGTTTCCATGGGTTTGGAACTACATGAGAGTGAGTAAATGATGACAGAATTTTAATTTTTGTGTGGACTATCCCTTTAAATTATCTAAAATATTAACTTAAAATCTCAGGGTATACTTCAAATACTACTTTAGGTCAAAGGGGATCGGCTGACAAACAAGTTTGGGCATCCCTGTTCTTAATTTTGGATTTAAGCAATGAAAACAAGCATCTGTCAATCTGTCTTTGTGTCAGTGACCCTCGTCTGGATGCTCAGCGGTGGAGGCACTCATCTGAAGGAATGTCCACCACCCTAGAGATGCTTCCCGGGCTGGAGGGGGTGGAGCTGGGCATGTACGGCAGGGTAAGAGCTTGTCAATCTATCCCTGCACCTGTCAATCAGTAAGTCAGGAAATGTCACAGAGCATTGTGCTCAGCGTACCACTGGACCTGCTCAGGAATGACAGCTTTATATCTCTTCATTTGATGCACCCAGAAGGTTAAAGGGGCTGTTAGGATGTCTCAGGCTGACAGATGGCTTGTTATGATCTTATTTGTTGTGCAGACGGTGTCGTACGCTCAGTTCCTGTACCCCACTAATGCTCTGGACCACCACAAGCCCGCAGTGGATCTCGCTCTACCCATGCCATATTCCAGAAACAGCATCCCTTGCAGTTATCCTCCCTCTCGCCTCAACAGCACCGTCGGCCTGGACCTGGGTATATCTCACACATAGCACACAGACATGTGAGGACCTCCTATAGGCATGTATTGTCCTCAAATAAGCTGAATATCTGTAGACTAACTCTAGACCTACTCTATACATACAATTTCTTGGTCTTATTTGGTATTACTTGACCAATTTAGATACGTTTTTACTTTTTCATAGTGAAGATATATACAGTAACTTTCAAAAGTTTGTTTTTACTGAGCAAGGATGCTTTACATTGATCAAATGTTACAGTAAAGACATATATAATGGTTCCAAAGATTGCGGTTTCAAATAATTGTTGTTCTTTTCCTTCTATTCATAAAAGAAGCAGCACAACTGTTTTTAACATTGATAATAATAAGAAATGTTTCTTGAGCAACAAATCATAATATTAGAATGATTTCTGAAAAATCATGTGAGACTGGAGTAATGATACTGAAAATTCAGCTTTGCATCACAGGAATAAATTACATCTGAAAATATATTACAGTGGAAAAAAGCTATTTTAAATTGCAATAACTCACAATATTACTGTTTTTACTGTAATTTTGATCAAAGAAATGCAGCCTTGGTGAGAATAAGAGACTTTTGAAGAAAAACTCATGTTAAAATGATTACACTAATGTTAAAATGACATTTTTGTAATACTCGAGTAAAACACATACCGTTCACTTTCAGAAGTTGTTGTAGGGGTGCTATATAGGGAACACATACACTCAGAAAACAAACACACACTCGTACAAAAAGTGTGTAGTAACTGATGGGAGCTTAATAAAGGTTTTAATGCTGTATTATTCACAGAGTTTGTAGGGACATTTCAATCAACTTGGTAGACACTCTTATTATCACAGTATTTCGTGTGTGTGTGTGTGTGTGTGTGTGTGAACTCAGCTCTCTGTATTCTTGTATCTTATTTAGCAAGCCTGCATTAGCAACACTTGTGTCAACCAAGTGTGTCGCTGATTGTACGTACTGAGTACTAATTGCGTTTTTATTTTGTGTATTGTCTTAAAGGAAACGTTCAGCCAAAAATAAACATTTTCATCATTTACTCACCACGACAGGTGACAGACGTCTCATTTTTGAGTGAACTACCCCTTTAATATAGCTATGCCTAGTCAGTGCAGGGAAGATACTGTCACCATCATCTCAAAAACACGCTTAAACAGGCCACATTCAGTTATGTTATCAGTGGTTTGATTGGCTCATTTGACAGCCATGTCCTTGTGTGTTTATTTGGGGTTTTTTTCAGGCGTTGAAGACCCTGACTATGACCCTAATATGCTCAGTGACCCACGGTGGCCATGTGGAAAACACAAAAGAGTGCTCATCTTTGCCTCTTACATGGTGAGAGATGCTATATGCTATATGCTATATATATATATATATATATATATATATACACACAGTGGTGTGAAAAAGTGTTGGCCCCCTTCCTGATTTCTTCTTTTTTTTGCATATTTGTCACACTTTAATGTTTCAGATCATCAAACAAATTTAAATATTAGTCAAAGATAACACAAGTAAACACAACATGCAGTTTTTAAATGAAGGTTTTTATTATTAAGGGAAAACAAAATCCAAAACTACATGGCCCTGTGTGACAATTTTCTTTAAAAAAATGTATATGTATGTAATTTTTTGTTTTTTTTGGAATATGACCTGACTTGTTTTTTCTTTAAATCAAACCACGTAACACTGCTGCTCAGCTATTCGCAGATGTGTGTTTGTGTTTTGGGGTGTTTAATGTAGCCCAGTTTGGTCTTGTTTCTTGTTTTTAGACATTAATTTACCCATCAGACACATATGTAGAGATGAATGGTTATCTGTGTGATTAAACCTCTGTGCTGAAAGCAGGGTGGTCTGACCTACAGACACAGATAAACATAACTTATCAAGCTGACATCATTACTGACCACTGGATAATACTGCTTATACAAATGTACACTGTAAAAAGTTTTTATTGCTGATTATCTTACTGATGTAGATTCTCAGTATTTACTGTCATTCTCTTTGTCCCTCCAACAGACAACAGTAATAGAGTATGTCAAACCGTCAGATCTGAAGAAGGACATGAATGAGACCTTTAAGGAAAAATTCCCCCACATAAAACTCACACTGAGCAAAATCAGAAGGTACACACACATTTTAAATGTTTTCTTCAGTTTCTTCATGTTCATCAGAATATGGTCATATTTTTATGTATGCAATAACCAGATTAAACCAAAAAAAATTCAAAAGAGAGCTTAAACCCTAATGAAAACGAACTGAATAAACTAAAAAGTTACATTTTAAAGGGATAGTTCACCCAAAAATTAAAATATTGTCATTAATTACTCACCCTCATGTCTTTCCAAACCTGTAAGATAGGGGTGTAACGATTCACTCGTTTTCTCAATGCATTGATTACAAACCCTGACGATGCATATGCATCGATCTTAAAACATGGATTTTTGAATCGTGAATCACTGATTTCGGCTAGTAATCGATTTAAAATGCTAAGAATCGAAGGAATCGCGATTTCTATAGCGATTCAATGCTATATATACACATTAAATTGCTACAAGCACGAATTAATGGAGACCTTGAACAGTGTTGTTCGTGCCCTCACATCTCCTTCACGCGCTCCACTATTTACCGGCTGTCACAGGATTGCGCTCGTGCTCTGTTCGTAGCTCTCACTGACACCTTTTTTTTTTTTACACCAGCCTCTCGGTCATACCATTGTCAATATTGCCTGAGCATGGACGGAGCCAAAACAATGTAAGTGTCTAAACGCATACCACAGTTCCACTGAATGATAAATGACTTTTAACTTAATGTCGTAAAACCGAATGTACGAAGGAAACCGTTAAAATAACCACAGCATTAACAACAACATTGAAATAAGAGCGCGTTGTTTATATGTCAATCAGATTCATGAAAGTTGCGTTCGTTGCTATAGCAAACAGACATCTGGCGCATTTTCTTTCTGAATCATCATTCGCCGATAGAAAGGGAAAGTTAAATACTGTAGCATTTTATTTTATGAAAATATACGGAAACTCACATCATGCAGAGGTGAGACAACAAAATGTTACCCTATACATTTACACTATGCTACATAATAGTTAACACGAACTTTTAAAGCCTTTTTTTTTTTTTTTTAATCTTGGTTTACATACCCTAGTGAAAATAAATATACTAAAATGTATTTGAAATTTATTTCATGCTAAGAATACTACAAATAAAATTACATATGTATGTAGGCTACTTAATAAATATACCCAGCAACAGGGCCGCATTAACTATTGGGCTAGGCGGGGCTGAAGCCCCGGGGCCCGGACAAGGAGGGAGCCCGTGATTGGCTGTGGAGTAGACTGACTGGTCATCGGTAGCGCCGATTGCCAAAGCCCCGCTCCTCACTTATTAGCGCTATTATTTAGTGGAGCTTTTCCATATATTCCATGCATTACCATTAGAGATTAAAACGTCACATTTGAAGTTGGTTTACCAATCAAATGCATGTATTCTATATTTTTACTTTTGAACGACCCCTGCACCACGTATCAATCAGGTCTGGAAATGGTCATGCAAAGAACAATCTTCGATAAGCAAACATGTAAACTATTCGAAAAAGAAAGTGAGAGAGGGGCTATTCTAAAAAAAAAAACGAGGAGAAAGGGGAAAACATGAGTTAGTGAGTCAGTAAAATCCCCAGCTATCAGGTTATTTTACTAAAGCTGATGATGGACTAGAAGTTGTTGGAACAGCAAGTGGACTGGGCACATGGAGCAGATAAAATCACAGCGTCATCGTCCCCACAGATTTTAGGTTAGTTTGATTAACAAGTTAACAACTTGATGGATGTATATTGCTTTTTGTGTTTGAACAAAGTATATAGCTTATGGGTTGAGCGATAAACCGGTAGAAATATATCAATCGTTTTGCGCGGCATGATGTAGGTTAAGCTTTTCATTTAAACGCATTTTAAGCATTGTGGTTTAAAAACAAATTTAACTGTTCAGGGACATTAAGCAGTGGGGCAGAATTCATTTTGGCAAATGCGC